TCATTCGCAGTAGAAGCTTTTGAAAACCCTGTGTAAACGGTCGTAGCTGCCTTTGGGAACCTTTGGAAATTTTTTACGAAAGAGCAGCACCGCAGGAAAAAGACACAACTTGTCGAACGCAAATCTCGCGGTCAGGCGGCGTGATCAAAGGACATGCCTTGGCACGCCAAAGTTCTATGTCTGTGTTCCATCGCACGCTTGGATACCGATCAAGAATCGACGCTTAGCAACATTAAGCTCCATCTATAACCGGCAATTTCCTTTCGTCATTCTCAAAGCATGGAAAAGATGACGCAAGCCTTGGGTAACGCCTAAGCTAACCAAGGTGCTACGGATTAAGAATTACTTGAATATCATCAGTTTTTAAAAAACAAAACAAAAAAATAAGCTTGTTTCCTTTAAAAAATACCGCAATCAATTAAAATGTTCTAAGGATTGAAAAGCGTGATTATTTCAACAACCATTTTGGTCCTTTGGAAACAATGAAACCTGATAGTATGCGGAAGAGAATACTTTCAGTACTCAATCATAAGCCACCCCCAAAACGTACCTCAAGAAATTAACGTAAATAATGCTAGGTTAACCGAAGTAAGCAAGGTGAATGCGTTCAATAGTTTCTTCGATAACGTCGGTGCATCCTCTTGTGCATCATCGCCCTGCGTACCTAAAGCACTAGAGTTCATGTCATTATCACAGGTATATACTTTTTTTTTTTAAACTTCCGACTGGCGATATAGAAGTACGTTCTACTGTCATGAGTCTTAAAAAGAGCAAGATCATTGATGTCGACAACATGCAGATAGCGCCTATCAAATACGTCATTGATTTTCTTGCACCATATCTCTCTCTCTCTCTCTCTCTCTCTATATATATATATATATATATATATGGTGCAAGAAGATCAATGACACATTTGATAGATACTCGAAAGTATCTCTAAGACTAATTTTTATTCTTCCCGTTTTTTCTAAACCATTTGAAAAAACGTTTACACCAAAGGTTCCTTGCGCATCTTGAAAAATATTTTTTAAGCACAGTTTCACAATTTGGCTTTCGTAAGCACCGTTATACTGAGATGCCATTTTTTATTCAAGAATAATTTTCTTAAAAGCATTTGGCGTGGAAAAAATAACACTCGGCGTATTTTTGAATGAACCGAAGGCTTTGATTTCATAAATCATGATATTTTTCTAGCTAAACTCCCCTTTTTTGAAGTAAGGGGTATCGCGCTGGATATCTTGAAATCATACTAAATAGACACCAATACGCATTTTTTTTTAATTATAATTCAGGTGGGCTATCCATACGATTGAAAGTTCCTCAGGGAAGCTTATTGGGCCCTCATTGTTATTTATTTTGTATATTATTGACATTGTTACCGTGGCTCATAATATTGATACCATGATAAAAAAAATCTGCCGATGATAAAAGCTTTTTTTTTTTTCGCCCATAACCATGCAGTACAACTATTTCGATAATATACGAAGTGCTAAACCGAATTACGGCCTGGACAACTAACAACAAAATAAATATATTCTGTAAAAACAAAACAAAGGTATATTGTTTAGGTCTCGCAATAAAATGGTAGATGTTTTTTCTTGTCTCGTTATAAACAACGAAGAAATTTAGTTTGTAGAGCAGATTAAATTATTGGGTGTGTGTTTCTCACATGGTTCTTTGAGTTGGAATGCTCATTTCGACTATATTTACAAAGAACGTTGGCCTACTAGCAAATATTAAAGCTGCATTTCCTATTCAAATAAAGTGAACAATTTATAATTCGTTTATTTGTTCCTATCTTAATTAATGTAACATTGTATGGGGCACCACAACCAAAACAAACCTAACTAAATTACCTCTCTTACATAAGAAGGCAGTTCGTGCCATTGCGTGCTTGAAATTTCTTCATCCCACTGAGTCCGTATTTAAATGCCTTAATATAAAAACCTTCTAGCAAATGTATATTTTCAAGCTTTTGTCGACTGTTCGGCGTCACATTGAATTTTTCATCTCGTTAGCTAAACTAAAATTTCACACTATTTTGCGTAACCCAAGACACAATCATCCATGAATGATTCACCCATCGCTGGCCAACTACCTTAATCAAACGCTTCATTTCGTTCCGTCCACCATACTGAATAGTACAGGTAAAATAGGAATCAACGTAAACACACTATCACATAAAGCCTTATTAATTTTTATGCTTTCAATGCGACGCTTGTGTAGGGAGATTATTATGCTGAGCAGTACTGTATGGTGTGTGTGTGTGTTATCTGACATCATAGTTTCTCTGCTTTTTATATTTGCTTATAGAAAATGTGCTCACATGCTTCGTTTTTAAATATATATATATATATATATATATATATATATATATATGTGTGTGTAGAAAGCTTTGTGTTTTATGTTAGTTTTCTTTTTCACTTATACAAATTTTTGTTTTTACAATCTGCGGGGTGAAGGGCTGGAACCTTCGTCAAGCTTCTTTTTAGCAGCTTTTCGTACCAGTCACTTGTTTGTAGTATAAAACTTTGTGATAGGAAATAAATTTGATTTGATTTGATTACGCCGCCTGACTGCGAGATTTGCGATCGACGAGCTGTGCCTTTTTCCTGTGGTGCAGCGCTTTTGTGAAACTTTCGAAAAGCCTATACTATATACTGCGACCGTTTTCACAAGATATTCAAAAACTTGTTCGGTGACTGACAGCGAACGTGAAGAAAGTGTGTCTTTCAGCACGCAGCCGCCCAGCTGACTCACGTAGGCTCACGCAACAGCAGCGAACTGGCGATAACAACACACACCCTTGTCTAGGGATAAAAAAAAAGTAGACAGGATCGTGATATAACGCACGAATATGCATGACCGTACGTGCGTATTCGACTTTTTAATTGGTTTCATGTACTTCCCCTAGATCACTTAAAGGGAGTGATACAACAGTTTCTTGTACTTTCAGTAAATACCGTTCAGAATTACTCCTTGGCATTGAGAACCTATGAAAAACGCGTTCTTTCCCCCATGCAGTGGCAATCGCAGAAAATATTCGAGGAAAACGGTTCACCATATATAAGGTGCCTATACATGTTCGCCTAGCGCGTGACGCGCTGGCACACTGAGTGCGTGACTTGCGCGGTAAAATGGCGTCTATATATGCATTCGCCAAGGCTACGTGCTCGATCTGAGTCGCACCAGTTTCCTCGCACTTCAAATGATAAAAAAAAAGCGATCGGGCGGAGAACAGTGATCACTGTATGAGCCGCATTTAAATATTGTCACCGCGGGGATCGCAAAGCTTGATGACGAAATCCTGGTGGTCGCATCGTTGACAACGCCAACGATGCGACCTCCACCGCTTCGTCTTCAAGTTTTGCGAAGGAGAGACTGAAAGAAAACGTCCGCTTTTGTCCTGGAAATTACGCGGCGACAAAGAAGCTTCTTGGTCAGTGGCATTGAGTGCGAGCATACTTGGGTTCCAAATAATTGGGGTTGTGTGGATATTTATACATCGTGTAGTTGGTCAGTCATTTCAATGTTGCGACGAGTCACTCGCTGTAGATGATCAATTTAGCCAGTGCGGTACAACCGCTAGCCTGGGGTATTTAACGTGCACCACGCAGTAGTGATACACGACCGCACGCCGGTACCATGCTCATCCAGATCAAACAGGCAGGAGTGGCGATTGAACGCAGTATCCGTGGGTTCTGCAGCGCGAGCTTTCGCTCCACGTGCTCCGAGCTGGTCCGCGCTAGCCCACTCGGCCACCGATCCCCCCTTGGGTTCCACTAGTGCAGTGGCTTATGTAAAGTGAGAAACATTCCTGCCCATATCGTTGCACAGCCCCTTTAATAATTGTCTCTCTATTTTGTTACTGCAGCTTAGTTCGCTCGTATGGTCATGTTATTTTAAATACACAATTCGAGTTCTTTTTTTTTTTTTTCCTATTTTATACAGAACAGGTAATTCGATGCTAACGAGTCCGGATATGAGGGACTTTTCTTATATCGTTCGGAAGCGCGTTACTAGCGAAAGCTCGTGTCGCCACTTTGAGTAGGGACTCAGCACGTGCCCGCAGTTCCCTCGATGCGCTGTGTACGATCAACGAAAAGTTAATACTGTACTCAACTCTCCCTTAAGCTGAGACTAGAAGCTCCGCCTTCAGCGCGAGCTCGCTGGCTTCCGGAGTGCTTTGGTTGCGCGTGCCTGCGCGTTCACACTTGTGTTAGCAAGAGCAGGAAGCTCTCGCAATGGCCCGTTGAACGCGCAGTCGTGCTTTCAGAAAGGAAAACGATGGAAGAATCAAAACAGTGACTTCAACAATTCCGCTAAATTGATCATGAATAGAGACAGAGGCGTCGGAACTATTCGGGAGAGGGGGGCCTTTCTGCCCCTCTCCGGTAATGTTTACTTGAAAAGTTTTGAAATGTCAAGTGAGGTGGGGTTGGGGGGGGGGGGGGGGGCGCCACAGATTAGAGATAAACATTAATCGGCGATCAAACAAAAGCCGAGAGAAACTTGCTTTCATTTCCTACACATGAACGGCGAAAACGAGCAACCCAGTGCCGACGTCCGAATTAAGGCCAGGATCAGAAAGAGACCTATATAGATGTTCTCGCCGGAGCGAACTCGTACAAGCGCGAAGCCCGAGCCCGAGTGCAGCGGCAGCGGAAAGTGGCTTACGACCGCACAGATCGCGCAAAGCCCCGAGGCCCTAACAGGTTTTTCTTTATCCGACAGACATCGTGGATTACGTCCAGCTGGCCGTCGGTGAGTTAATCAGCCGACAAAAACATCCTCGAGCCTCTCTCGCATGCTCTCCGCTGGTGGCGTTATTGACATTCAAACGTGAAGGTCGGTCGCGTCCGCACGCGGCTCGGCGCGCATGCATTGCGACTGGTCTGCCGTCCTCCAAGTGCGTCTGCAGAGTTCCTCGTTCGTGTCGACAGTAGGATCTATAGGGGGCCTGTCTGTTACAGTCCTGCGGCCACAAAGAAACGAGCAACATGTGGATCGGCGCCAAAGGTGAGCGCATCGCGCGCGGGCGCCAACGCCGCCTGTAAGCAGCGCTGATGTTTAGCGAAGCGCTGTCCCAATCACCAGAGGTGTCTCCGACCAGTGGCGTATCAACTTGTTTTTGAGTGGGGGAGCAAACCAGACCCCCCCCCCCCCCCCCAGGACCGGTGGGCGGTGCTCTTGGTATACCTTGGGCGCCCCCGGCCAGTGTTTGCCCTGCCCAGTGGCGGCTGTTTCAGGGGGGGGGGGCAAAACACATGTTTTGTCCCCCCCCCCCCCCATCCAACTTTGAGGAGTGGGGGGCAAGCGCCCCCCTTGCCCCCCCGGTTGGTACACCCATGTCTCCGACGGTGTAAATGAGACGAAGATACGAGGCAAAAAGATAGTGATGAGACGTTGACCAATTCCGGACGTATCTTCGCTTTCATTGAGATAATTATCCCCCCCCCCCCCCCCAATGAAAGCGAAGATATATATATTAATGTATGCGTCGGGAGGGGGGACTCACTTGGTGCGCCAATTACTACGATATACGCATTCGTCGAACGAATGACGGACCGCGTGGAACGGTCTATCTTGAATGCACGATCCGAGTAGGAACACTGAGCAAACGAAACGTCGTGCTCATTGTTCCTGCTCGGGTCGCGTCTCTGAGCCAAGCCGACTGCTGTGCCTCGTCATGAGCTCCGTATCCTGCATCTCACAAATGTCTAGAACGGAGACAAAGACGCAGACGTGTGAGCCTATACCTCAGAGCTTTGTTTTGTACGAGATCTCGCGCATTGAAGGCATTTTCCAGAGCTGTACGCGAACACAAACAAGTCCGCGTTTGCCCACAGTGGGCGCGGGCACTGCGCTTGCGCAGAAACTACAACCACTTGAGGCGAACCCGCATAGTGCATGGCGTCACGTCAGAGAGTTGAGTTGTTGTATGCGCGCTGGTGCCTCCTCTCTCAGCACTGCAGATGTTCGTGAGACATAAGATTGCAGTGCACACTCTATGGCGCGCTCTGCGGCAAAGTAGACGCACATGCAATTTAGAGAGTGCATTCTCAGAGTCGCGACTGGGAACAGAAACTTCGGACAAGAATCACTATCAAGGATCAAACTTGAGCCAACTGGTGATTCGTGTAGGTAGGCCTTTTCGAGGACTTCGGTTGTGCGTGCGCTCGCTTTTCTTTTTTTTTTTTTTTTTCCCCCTTGCGCTAACGTTAGTAGAAGGAAAAACCAATATTAGACCTTGAATGCAGGCCGGTCTGCCCTTAAATTACCGTCACGCTGGTTCACGCTATAGATGAGCTATTTATCCAGTGCGGTACGAATGCTAGTCCGGGGGGTCTTTGACGTGCAGAACACAGTAGCGATTATCCACGAATTATACGGGCATGGGGTGGGAATCGAAGCGAGGCGAGAAACGATTAAGTTGTTAGGTGGGCACAAAGAAAACTGCCTGAGCTCTGACTTTCCAGCAGAGTGCGCCAAGAGTCTATACCTGTCGCCTCTGTAGAGCATCCAACGAGTGACGCAAACCTAGGGACTCATTGAGCGTAATATACGCTCTGCACAGGCACAAAGAGGATATGCCCTTTCGCATGCGCAATGTACGCGCGCAGGTGGCGCTCTGGTCATTTGCCATTTGTTTACTGAGCTGTGGAACTCAACATGCTTTTCTGCGGAGGACGCCGGCTATGCGTCCGTGACTCGTCACTTTTTTTCCCCCTAGGGCCGCTGGAAAGGCATATACACCATTCCAGCTAGCACTCATAAGTTATAGGCAAACCAATGCCGAGTCATTAGGTCGAGGGCGCATACGCGTCGTCGTCATATATTCCGCAGAAGGGAGCTACTGTGCATGGTCAGAACGCGTTTCATAGACCAGCAGACAAAGGTGGCAGAGTGCAGAAAGCGAGAATTGGAGTCTGCAATCATTCACTCTCCGCCAACTCTTCGAGGCAGTAGACGTCTCTTCGGAATCTTGGCTGCATTCATCTACTTTGAGTACGTTTATACGACTGACGACGGCAATACACTTCCCTTTCTAACTCCGAATAATGACTCTAAAGGCCTAGGAAGCCTAACAGTCACTGAGCCAGGTGTTCTAGCATTACTGCTTAAACTGGGCAAAAAAAAGAAGTAACGGTCCTGATGAAATTTTAAATATGTTCCTAAAACGGTATGCCGAATGGATTAGTAAATATTTAGTGCCAGTTTTTAACAGGTCTCTCAACCGTTATTCTGTGCCAACGAGTGGAAAATGGCAAAAGTTGTACCTATTCAGAAATCCGGCGAATACTTAATGGCCGCAAACTATAGACCTATATCTCTCACATGCACGGCTGTAAATTCCTCGAACGCATCATGACGGTATTTATTGATAAACACAATATTTAATGCACGCAGCAGCACGGCTTTATGAGTGAACTATCAACTGTTACGCAACTGGTCGAGACCATCCATGATTTCGCGACGGCTATAAATAATAGAAGCCAGATTGATGTAATATCTTTAGACCCATCAAAAACGTTTGACCGTGTTTCACGCGTCAAACTTCTTAAAAAAGCTTCCACAGATCATTGGTGAGGGTTGTATAGTATCGCGGATAGAAGACTACCTAAACAATCGGTTTCAGTTTGTATGTTATGAAGGACACGTCTCTCGACCAGTTAAGGCACTGTCTGGTATCCCGCAAGGCACTGTTTTGGCACCACTCCTGTTTCTTCTCTATATATATGACATTGTTAATGATATCGACGCAAATATAAAAGTTTTTCCAGACAACTGTTTTATCTATCGCGAGATAACAAGCCAAGCTGACCAAATTCTACTAAACGAATCACTAAGAAAGATAACCGATTCGTGTGATAACTAGCAAATGACTCTAAATTCTGACAAAACCGTTACTATGTGACTAACGAGGAAAAAGAAGAATATTCTCGAATTCGCACACAGTGTTAATGGTGTAGACTTGCGCAGGGTCACTGAATGTTAGTATCTTGGTATCATATTAGCATCCAACCCGAGCTGGAACGCACACGTTAAATATATAGCAAACAAAGCCCCGACAAAATTATTCTTTCTGGAGAGAACTTGAAATAAAGCTTTTAGCATACACCTCTCTTGTGCGTCCAGTACTAGAATACGCACACATATATCCTGATTCCCACATACACAGAGGAATATAAGTATTATAAAAAGTGTCCAGGAGAAAGGTAATCATATTTGTTTACCACGAAAGAGTTTATACTCTTTTGTGCCTGAACAATATGCTGACGGGCTCAACATTACGCGATTTATGTTTCTTGGCGCGAAGGTGAAGCGCCAGATTTCTCAGTTCCTAAAACACAACAAACAAACAAACAAACAATAACCGCACCACGGGTGTGCATGGGGCAGACGGCAAACAACGCGCGTAACACCTACACGTTGTCTACTTTTTTTTCTTATTCTTCTTATAATTCTCAGGTGTTCAAAGCACCTTGGCAGTCTGCATCTGCACCGCAATCACCAGAGAAAAAAAAGAAAAATCAGAAAAATAATTGACGACACGTGTCACTTCGCATGATAATAACCATTTAAAAAATTTCCAGTCCGATCATTTTCCCTGTTTGTTTGTTAAGTACATATTTAATCCAATGCTCTTTCATTATCCGCCGTTTCATAAAAAAAGACAAAAAAACAACAAAAAAAACAGCTTTTTTTTTCACGTCCTTTGCGACACTGCAGAATAGGAGCGCTCAATTTCAAATTGTGACAGCATCTGCAGATTAGGAGGCGTGCATTTCCGTCACCCGTTGTTTACCTGAGCGTATACGACACGAAGTGGCAAAGGGGGGTAATCATTTTCAAATATCATCATCGAGTTTGTTCAATGTACTTCAGTAGGCACACCCGAAGAGAATAGGATCGATGCGTGCACGTTGTAAACGAAATACTCCCCGAACCACCCGTCAGGTTTGCTCGTCTTCAACCTGGCGGTTATCGGAGCGGCGGTCCTCTGGCAGCACTTTGGACGTCGTCGACTGCACACCACCCTCCCGGAGTCCAAGTACGACTACATCATCGGTAAGATCGGACTCCCACGCGTCTAACTATCTCCACAAGTCTTGATTTTTGACCCATAACCCATCGTACTTGCAAAGAGCGCGAGATAATTTCCAGACCGGCGAACTATATACGAGATTAAAACTCGTGTTTGGGCGAGTTGATTCTTGCTGATTTAAAAGGTTAAAAAGCGCAAAAAAAAAACAAGGACAATAAAGACACAAAGACTCAAAGATGAGTTAGCGCCCGTCCTGTCGTCTTTGTGTCTTTATTTTACTTGTTTTATTTGCGCTTTTTAACCTTTTGAACTACACGGGAATCTCAATTATGCTCGAATCCCGAGCAGAGGTTTCAAACATGCCGACCGCGGGCCGCATGCGGCCCGCTACTCGCTGGGACGTGACCCCCAAGGATCAAGAGGCTGCAAACCCCCATTCCCATGTCCCGAGCGCTATATCCGTCATAAATAATTGGTCTTACGTCATTAGTTCATTTACGCTCAAAACGTAACTCTGCTTCTATAAGATAACGTGTTCACACATCTTTTTTTCATTCCGTTTTATTTTGAACCGAGTGGTGTTTCGTCTTAGTTGCGGCTCCTCAGCTCTCTCGTACGCGATACTTACCTGTACGACAATCGACTATGGTACAAGCACGAGCTCTTTAGGACGCACCTCGGCTGCTTAGCAGGAGCAACCTCCAAAGATAAAGTATACGCTCGGATTTCCAACAGTAAATAAAAAAACGTAATTAAAACACAAAAATGTTTTTAAAACGCTGCTGTAAGAATTGTCAGGAGAGCAAAACAGTTATGAAGATTTTTTAAAACTTTTTTACAATACTGCCAGCCGGTTTAGGGGCTAAGGAGGGATAGGCGATAGAAAAAAAAAATAATTCACATTGCAATCTCTGTCTGCAGCACATCAGCACATACAATAAAAAAGTGTGTGTGTGTGTGGGGGGGGGGGTTGCAAACAACAACACGGCAATCAACACTATATGCAACCAATACTGCACTGCAACTTTGGGGGGGGGGGGGGGGGGGGGGGAGGCAGTTTGATACGCGTGAGCAAACCTCTTTTTCATTCAAACAATATGCCATTTCATTTTCAAATTCATAACCGAGTGAAGGTAGCAACGGCAGACGGAAGTTTATTCCAAATATCTATGGCTTGCACAAATAAGGATTGCTTTAATATATTTCTGCGGGCATTCATAGGATTTACTACTTTTTGCGTCATATAAATGCTCAGGTCGGTAACTTTTTGGCCCCACATATTTCAAACTATCGATTTAAAAGAAAGTCATTACTAATTTGAAGAAAAAAGGAAAGCTTCAACCGCAAGCTATTTTTCATTTTTTTTTCTTTTTTTTTAAGGAGTAGTTCGGCTTGCTTTTTTAGTTCTGTCGCCGATGTACTTCTACAATAGGAAAACAAATTGTACGAACCTCAAGCTACCTTTTCGAGCTCTTTTGAAAAAGAGGTCTGCGAAGGATCCCAGCCCTCTGAACCATACTCTAATTGTGGACTGACGAGAGCTTTGTAAGCCAGAAGGTTCACTAAAGGCGGTGTTTTAAACAACTTTGTTAAATACCAATGCTTTTGGGTTGCCTTTTTTGTCACATAATTCACATGCTTATTCTATTTTAGACCACTTGTCGTGATTACACTTATGTATTTATAACTATCAACCCTTGTCAGCTTCACAGCCTCTAGCTCATAGTCGAAGTGTAATCTATTTTTCTTTGTTATAAAGTGCATGTACCGTGTTTTCTGGATGTTAATTTTCACGTTTTTTACACTACAGCATGTTGAGATGCGAGCCATGACATTATTTAAGTTGATCTGGTCATCAACTGAGGAAACAGGTGTATAAATGGCACAATCATCAGCAAACAATCCTATTTTCACGCAGCCGTTACAAACAATAAAGCATAAACTTTACACATTAAAGAAAAAAAAAAAAAAAAAACAGAGGCCCAACACGGAGTCCTGAGGAACCCCAGAATGTACGTTTAAGAAAACTGAAGAAGTTCCATTGACGTCCACAAGCTCCTGTCAATTTCATAGATTCGCGCTAATCCACTTTATGATCAATGGTGCAACACCTAAGCCAATTAACACAAAGATTAATTTACAGTGGGGTACTTGATTGAATGCTTTGGACAGTTTTATAAAGAAGACAGCCACTGGAGGGGATCATTAACATAACCGAAAATTTCATGATAGCACGGTGTTGATTGGAACCTAATAAATTATTTTCTTCTACAAAACACACTAACTGGTTGTTTACCATATGCTCTAATAATTTACATAATGTGCAAGTCAAAGAAATGGGACGATAATTTTCTACCAAATTACTTGTGCCACTCTTTCTTACGGGTACAACTCTCGCTATTAGCCAATTGTCTGTTAAAGCATAATTTTCAAGTTACCTTGAAAGGATACAAGTAAAATATTTCGCAACCCATTCAGCGTATCGATTCAGTAACTCATTCGGTGCAGAATCTAGTCCCGGCGATTTCCTAATATTAGTGTTAACTGCTAATACACAATACCTTCTTCTGATAAAGTGTCACACTAAACCCATTGTCACTGGGATTGCTGTTTAATTCGCTTCACCTTATTGTGAATACTGACTGGAAATAGCGATTTAATTAAGATGAAATTTCAGCCCTGTCACTTACAACGTTACCATCAGTACATGACCGACTTAGTTTACGCCTCGTCGGGGCCAGATAACGCCAGAAATTTTTTAGAGAGGACAATATAAATCCTGGCAATGACCTTGTAAAATATGCGTCTTTGGCTAGCTTTATCAATATTCTTAATTTACTGCTCTGTTCACATATAGCGGGAGATGGACGCTTACGAACTCTTCTTAGTTTTCGTTTTGCCTGAAAACGTTTCTTCTTATCTATGGATGTTGGCGTCTCATCTTTTTAGTTTTCTTGGGTATAAAGTTTGAAAGGCAGTGCTCAGTAATGCGTTTAAGCTTCAAGCACATTTCATTTCATTTAATTTATTCTACCCTTAAAGGCCCAATGGGCATTACATAAGGGGGGGGGGGGGGGGGCAAGGAATTTAAAATCGAAAATGCAGAACACCGCACGAAGCGAAAAAAAAACAAAAAAAAACAACATCAATTATACATTTGTACACGCTATAAAAATAGCAGGGAAAGTCCACACAGAAACAAATGAGGTCAAAAATCACCAACATATCGTCTATGTAAGCACTCGACAAAAAAAAAAATATTAAAAGAATAAAATAAAATAATAAATATATAATAAAATCAGTTAGTTCGTCAAATCCGTACTCCTCAGGATAGTCGAGTACTGACTCGTCATTTGCCCTTTCGTAATCATAATATAGACCCCTTTTAAAAGTCACGTGCCGTTTCTTAGAGGGTCGGAACCACTGCATAATGGCGGAGCGACGGCATCGAGGAACGTGCAAGTCATTCCATAAGATAGCGAACGGTGGAGCGCGGCCAACACTACGAGCCGACGAGCCAATCAAACAGCGTCGAAAGTGCAACGTCATTGCGATCATCATCTCTTTTAGTGGATGTGTTTTAACTTTTTTCCAGTGTGCCGTGACGTTGAGGTTTTAGTCCGCCATTGTGCAGGAATTTCACAGCGGCCAACAGAGTGCCGTATTTTGAAAGGTGTCTATTGCTTCACTCCGGTTGTTACTTTCTGGAATACATTAAGATCACACTTTAAAAAGAGCAGCCTGTGATCTGATACTCCATCATCAACACAAACGCTCCAACGTTCAAAGCGCTTACTAATGACCGAGAGATCAAGCAATATCCATGATGTCTCAGTAATACGCAGGCTTCTTCGACCGACTGACCAAGATACCGACTAAATGCCATGTCAATGAGCACTTCGTACAGGTTTGTTCCCTGACAAGCCACACCTTCATCCGACCAGTTTACGTGGGGGCCATTAAAATCGCCTCCGATCACTATCTTGCCTCGCTTATTGGTATTTTATACTAAATATTCGAGAATTGGTTTCAAATCATCTAGCGGAGATCCGGGTTTTGTGTAGACAGTTCCAAGCACCAGCCTCGTTCCAAGAAAGTTTATTTGATACCAAATGCCTTCGGAGTTGTCTATGATGCTCAAAGAAGTGTAGTTCAAATTGTCCTTGCAAGCAAAAAAGCGCCGAAAAAATACAGGGACACAGACGATGGGAAACAGGACAAGGCGCACTCTCAACTGAAGTTTATTGAAAATTCACACCTTATTAAGCCACAAAACTCCTGTTTACCCTATCTATTCAGCCCGCGTCTCAAAAATTCAAACTCATTTGTAGATAAGGATAGGGGCGTGTCACTTATGCAATTCTTGTCCCTAGTCCTAATTTCAAACGCCTCGTGTAATTCCCGCGACACTTTATCTTTGTACCTAGCCAAAATCTTGGTGTCATTGAAGGCTGGGGTGCACGAGCATCTATTGCAATGAATTGCAAGGTGCCCCGAAGGCGTCGTTCTTGTAGAGGCAGCGTGCTTTCGGGTGCGATCATATACGCACCTGCCCGTCTGGCCCACGTATGTCATCCCACACGTCATGGGTATTTCATAGACGACGCCAGTGGCGCATTCGACATATATACTTACTTCGATGGTTAGTTGTGCACGAATCTGAAGATGGCTGTGGGGAATTAATCTGGCGACAAAGTCGCGCCATCTTATTGGGCGCTGAAAAAACTACCGGTACATTGTAGCGCTGGGCTACTTTTTTTAGATTGTGCGTGACATTGTGCATATATGGAATGACAACAGGCCTCGTGGTCGGTCTATCGCTGTTTGATTTCTGATTACGTTTAATCTTTTTGATTAAGCTTTCTGCCACTTCAACCAAAGCTTTCAACGGAAAACCAGCCCTCTGCAGGCGTTCTATCTGACCCTCAAAACTGCCTTGCGCACTGTGCAAACATGGCTTTCTCAGGGAAGCCCCCAGGCACGAACTAGCTATGCCCCTTTTCACAACCTTCGAGTGGGCGGA